GAGAATGTCGATGCATGTGGGAGGTTGTATTTGCCTTCTTCAGAATGGTAGATGTCGGCATCAGAGATATTGTTTGATGCCTAAGGCATGTGAGGAGTGTCACCACGTTCACCCCATACGGTAAATCCCTGCGCCCACAACACTATCGATACCGGAGGCACGTGGGGGCCTTATCGACGGGAGTTTTAACGGCGCCTACAACATCAGAGAGGAAAACGCCGGTGCCTACAATATCGCTTTGTGTCGTGGTGTTTGCAGAGTATTGTTCTCGTAGAGGTGTACAGTGGTATGGTCCCTCGTATCGTGGTTTGACTTTACGCTCGGCTTGCTTTCTCTGTCGCTTCTAGCTCCTTCCGAAAGGTGTTCCCTGGTCGGATGGCTCATCGATTCGCTCGGGCCGTGCTAGGCCGAGAAGAAGAGGTGAGCAGGGTTTTATGCCCCCTGGCCGGGCGACGCTGGGTCAAGTCGAAGTAGCGCTTTGGGCCAGTGCCTTCCAATCGGAGAGGCCGCTCGGAGGTGGCCGGAGTCTGAAGCGGCGCCTGCCGGAGAAGTGGGCCAAAGTAGTTGACGAGCGGACGCTGCCTCTTCGCCTGCACCTTCCGGCGGCGGTGATCGGACCGCCCTTCCGCCCGTTGTTTTAGACTCTTGGGCCGGGCCATGAGTTGTGTGTGTGCCTTATTTGGGTCGAAGCCTCAAGGTGGAAGCCGGTCCTCGAGGGACCCGGGTCTATGAACCCGACACATCCTCTTTGACTAAGTCATGGATGATGATCATCGACTTCACCAACGAAGTCTAAGTGTGTACACTTCACCTAAGTTGGAATTTTTTATAAATTTTAAACTTGAACTCTTTACATCCTTCTGGCAAGCCTTACTTGAGTATGTTCGAGGCTTGTTGACCAGTTAAACTGGTCGACACTTCATTTTATTGATCGGATTACCGCTTAAATGGTCGGATTACCAAACCAAACTGGTTGGCACTTCATTATATTGATTGGATTACCATTTAAATTTGTTGGATTGTCAGATTAACTGTCTGACTCCAAGTTAAACTGCTCAGACCTGCTCAAGACGGCGTTGCTCAGCGGATACAAGGCGCTCGGGGACTAGCTGTGGAGGGTATAACCCTAGTTACCCATGGCAATGGACATGGGCCCCACCACTGTGGGAGGTCCAGCCCATAAGATCAAGGCCTATGGTGCTTGGCTCGTCGGTCGTGGCACCGCGAAGGCAATCAGAAAATATCTTATGGTGGAGAAAGATCCGTTCGGATATGATAGATATCGTATTTCTTGTAAATACTTACCATATAGCCGAATAGATCTAAATCTAAACCGACTTGTAATCCTACCTCCAGATTATATAAGGCGGTAGGGACCCCCGGAATACATCTCATATTCAATACAATCCACCAAAGACATAGGACGTAGGGTATTACGTCGATTAGACGGTTCGAACTCGTCTAAATCGCTTGTTTCGCTTGTGTCACCATCCGCCCTATTACGCGTGATTCACATCGATTTATCTACTACCGTAGGCATACTCCTTGATAGATCGCCGACAGTACCTCACCACCGACACGACGCCGCCTGCCGGTGGCCACCACGACACTTATAAAACCAGACGTTGGGTTCTGCACAAGTCACTTTCGAAACTCTGGTAGACGATGGCCAGTCACCAGGCTATACGATTAATCCTGGCCAGTGTATGTATTGTTATATTATTCATTCTGATATTGCAACTAATTATTTTCTTTTGATCCGATTCCCAAAACCTTATCTACGTTCAAATACCCGCTCTCTTAGTTTTTCTCCCATACAGAAATATGTATAGGAGCATCAAGAGCTCCTTACTCTCTGATCACCAAGAGAAATTTACCAGGTTTTACCTAAACAATTGGCACTTCGAATTCGTATGGTCTCTAATTAAGTAGTCTTATAGTATTTCTCAATCATCTTGACGATTGGCTCCCACCGAAACCTTTGGCGCATCCTAATATCATTTGAGCATCAGCATTCAAAAAATTGTGTCCAATAGCTATAACGTGAATCTATAGTATGGTATACATATTCTAGATCTTTTCTTTTAGTTTGATTTATATAAATAAATAAAATACCTTTCTACAAATCCCGCAACAACGCTGTATGGGTTTTTGCCTAATTAAACACGTGAGTAGTAGAAGTCCAGGTACGATATGGATTAAAATTATACAACTAATTGAAATACATGATACGATCATAACGTAGGCCCACCTACGGATATATTTGCTAGTATAAAAAAGGGGTGAGAACCATTACAAACACACACCAACATAGCTCAGTTTACTAAAAAAAAAAGTTGCACAGATCGCCATGGACAAACGACAAACATGACCGGACCAAACATGTCGTTTGTGTCTCCACCAGTCACTCGGTCACTAATAAGTAGTATCATTGCCACTCGTGAAGTCTTGATCAACTACTGACAAAAATAAAGCCGAATGGACAACTTCCTTGACCCTAGACAAAGGAGTCTCAAGCGCAAGGACTACACAACACGAGCTCAAGGACAAATCTGTAGCCATGCACGGCAAGAGTCCACTAGACCATCGCAATCCGAACCTCAATATATCTATGTGCTTCAGCTTTAGCACATTGTCATAGTCTGGATCCACGTGGGAGGTGGGATCCAGGTGATCTCAAGGGCATTCGAGTTGACAAGGCTAGCTAGTGTGAATATAAATTAAATATTTCTACAACCTTCAGTATAACAGCAGTGGTATGCATGATATATACTACCTTGTTTCTGAAATATAAAGGATTTTTATATATTTCAGAACTGAAGTAGTATGTGTGAAGTATATATAACATGTCTACTTACATATAAGATAAGTTGATTTTAGGAACAACTAGTTAGGAATATAATAGTACTGTATTTGTTGCATGAAGGTCATGAAAGAAACATATATTATTTTGAGTAAAAACTACCATAATATTTCTATGTGGCCTTACATATATATAACTAGATTTATTCCGAAAACACTACTGGTATAGTTGGTGTTTGAGTTGGTCACATGCAATCTTATCCTACTTGCAAGCCACCAGCAGGGATGAGAGCCACAAAAGCGAGAGCATGCTGACCCCACTAGATCCATAACACTATCCACACAAGATTTCCTTCCACCAGAGGGAGAGGCACATCAATTCTGAGGTTGGGTCATGATTCATGATGCCCTTTGGGCAACAAATAAAGGGATAGCGACTGTGTTTGTTATCATCATCACGAATTCATTAGCTTGTCACATCAGGCATCAACAGATATTTCGTGGCCCTAAATTTTTTTTCAGCATGCATGTTTAGGTGTTTTTGTGATTGGCAAAGGAAAGCCGGCCCCAAGGTTCATATCAAGATCAGATGAGTTCCATGACGACAGCTCAGATGAGTTCCATGACTACAGCCTGCACTGTCATACAAGGCACTAATTGTAATAGGTTGCCTTGTCCAAGTGGTTCTTGCTGCTGATGTACAAGGGCTTGTTTGGTTCATAGCCTGGAGCAAACTTTGCCTGGCCTCTCACCTTCCTAAATGCTGCCTGCAGTGCGTTTGGATGGAAACCTGGATATGTGCCTGAACAGGCAAGCGTGGCCTCCGCCAGGCTGATGAAAACGAGCGCCTTGCTGCTGGAACATGGTTGCCTGGGTGATCAGTGCTAGTTGGAATACGTGTAGGTTTTATTTTTTCTGTCTTTTTTTCCCTTGTTGTTACACGCGGTTACATTAAAGGAAGGCATAAAACGAAGCTGAATCAATCTTACCAAATACTCTCCTTGTTCAATAGATGAGTTCAGCAGGTTATGATGGTGTGGCCCAAACGTCTTTTCATTTTCTTATCCATTTCTCAGTTAAATATGTGTACGCACGGTTAGTAAATAAACTATTGAAACTATTTATATTTTTATGTATATTATTATTATAAAATACGTTGATTTATATTATAATGATTTATATTACTCAAATAATATTAGAGTTACAATAGATACGAATATATTACATCTTCTTGTTATTCTCCGCAGGCAAAGGCTTCCAATCAAATAGCCTATCACCTAACTTGTCTCGCCAGGCAATTTCCAGGCAACTCTCAGGCAATACTTTTTACCTGGAAAATCATTCAGGTCTCTATCCAAACACAGGCCCAAGGTGCCATTGTGAAAGCAAAGGTTAACCAAAGTGCATTACCGGACACATTCTTATTGGCCCTGTTCGCTTCTCTTAAAATCCGACTTTTCAAATTTTCCCCTGTTCGCTTCTCTTATAGTCCGTACTTTTCAAATTTTATTTTTTCAGCCAAAACAGATTTTTCTCTCTCATAGCAAATCAGCCGAAAAAGTGTTTCAAATTTTGTTTTTCAAAAAGCAAACGGGCCATTGTATCCAAAATAAAGTTTAATTTTTAGAATGATTATTGCAATCGAAAAAAATAAGTATGACAAATTTACAAACAGTAATAGAGAATGAAACTGAAATTGTGCCTTGAATTCGTTACTGACCAAAAGTTGTACAAATAGACGATCTGGGATGACTACTTCTACTATAACTTTAACAAATGATACAACACCAATATGCATGTATCATTATATGTTATTAGAACAACTAATTAACATGTCACATTATTCTATTCCTTATAGTTAGACAACACACTTGTATAAAACTTACCAGTGTGGCTTTTCTTTCTGTCCTCATCCTGCATGCTGCTACTGCTGTTTTCCATTCCTCTCTCCTAATTAAAGTATAAAATGAACACGAACTGTCTTTGTCCTGTGACCCCTAATTAAGACGGTGAGAGTTCTCCTCCCTTCTTTCTATCTACAACAAAAGAACTGTTGTTTCATATATATGTTGTCCTGTGTAAAAACGGTGTCAACCATTGGACCTTAAGAATGTTGCAAACCATGGACCTTAAGAAGATACTGAATCAATCACTGATTATTAAGGGTCCGGGATGCTTTATCTCCCTTTTCCTTTCCATTACATGATTGTGGATATGTTGTTTCCACCCAGCACGGCTGTTGCGAATGGACTTTCTGGGAGGAGTTCGATCTGATTGCTGCAATAATTAGGAATGTGTTATCCATAGAAATGTTACATAGATGACATACCAAGACTAATGCTAGCGTGCAATGCAATGTTTAATTGTGTTTACTAGTAAGTAATAACGTGGTACCTCTCTTTGTCATCGTAGTTGTTGCTTGACTGTGTTTGGGGAGCTTGGCTCGTGGAGACCATTTCCAAGGAATCTGGCGTCATGAGGGGATGGTCCATCAGCTGGTCGACATCGTCTTTGGAATCTGATTAGCAAGGAAAAAAGAAATTGGATAAAGAAAAGCAGACTTAACCTTATGGTTAAAGATGGAACTCTAAGGTGAAAAATGGTGGCATTGCAGACCTGATGCCGGGAGGCAATTGAGGGGATTCACACCATCGTCCCCAATGCTGCAATCGAAGTAGGCATATTGCTGCGGCGACGAGTCGAGCCTGACTGCACCCGTGAAGCGCTTCCTCTCGAGCTCGATCATCCTCTCCCACTTCTCTGCTAGTTGCTTTCTCACCATCCTGCTTGAAGGCTCGTATTCATCTAGAGCGAACAGATAAGTAGTCGATGATGTCAGTGGTCGCGGATAGTCGTAAAATATAGAGGTGATAAGGTTATTTGGCCATTACCTGGATAAAAGTTTGGGATGATCATCAATCTCGACAAAGCGGGTAGGGTAGTACTGCATCGGCTTCATCTTGTCCACGCACGTCCTGGGATAGCTGGAACTTCTATTAGGTTGCACACACAAAAGCATGCTATCAAAAAATAAAAGTAAACTAGAAACTAACTCGAGCATGCAAATTATATTGATTACCGTTCGATGCACTTGGATTTCTCTCTGTAGGGTTTAACAAGGACCCTTGATCCACAGATGAAATGTGGGTTGCGCCTCATGAGAATGGTGCTCACCGTCTCCGGGTTCTGGAAGCTCACAAAACCAAACATACGCCTCTCCTGGCATGGGATCCTCACGTCACGCACCGGACCATACTGCCTGCAGAGTGCAGAATGCCGCAGGTCAACACATTATTGCCTTGGTTTCGAATAATGTATGACAACTTCAAAATTTAAATGCGCATATATGCATCTTTAACATCAAAATTGAAACCAAATCAAAGATGGCATATATAGTATATGTACTCAAAGTAAGTGGCGACGTCTTCCTCGATGAAGGTGCTCTCGGCGGGGAAGGTGAGGTATATCTGGTGCGAGCTGGCTGGGACGGAGCCCATGTCCCCTCCTCCTCCACCTCCTCTTTCGCCCCTGAACTCCGTGTACCTGGCGGCGTCCTCCGCCAGAACCACCGAGTGCTGCCCGTGCGGCCTGCGCGTGTGCATTATATTTATTTACTTGTCCATCCAATGATTATTACAGTACATTGCTCTGATAAATAAACTGAATGTTAATTCGTTGCATATATGTACCTTTCGATGATACTGATCTTGCTGAGTCGGGAGAGCAGCCTGGTGAGGCTGAAGCCGGCCTTTCCATGGCGCTGGCTCGGTGAGGTAGCCCTCGGCCTGGAGGCCCTTGCCGTACCCTCTCGCCGTAGAGCGTGGGCAGGGACGCGATGGACAGCGGCTGGCCGTGCCGCGAGTTGAGCAGCTCGATGATCTCCAGCTCCAGCTTCTCCAGCGCGCCGGGTGTGGTGCCGCCGCCACCGCTTTGGTGGCCGTCGTCGGCGAACCCGTCAGTGGCGGAGTAGACCTGGTGGTGGTGGTGGTGCGAGTAGTGGCAGTTCTGGCCGTTCTTGCACTTGCCCTTGGTGAAGTAGTGACAGGGGCGCCGCGTCGACAGGCCGTTCGCGCGCCTGGCCGCGGCCCTCGGCGGCAGGCCCCCGCCGGCGCCGGCGCCGGCGCCGCCATTGTGGAACGCGTCCTCGGCGGCGGCGTAGTAGTACCCTCCGGCGGCGGCTGCGTAGTTGTGCTGGTGGTCGTCGACGAGGCCGTTGTGGTTCTGCTGCTGCTGCGGCATCAATGCGTAGTGGCCCTCGGCAGCCGCGGCCGCGGCGTCCACGAGCGAGAAGTCCTCCGCCTGCTGCGCCTTGGGCACTGGCGCCGCGTGCTCCGGCCAGTAGTGGAAGCCGAAGGCGGCGGCTGTGGCCGCCGGGGCGAAGTGGTGGCGCGCGCCGGCCGGGTGGTACCCGGCGGCGGCGGAGGCCCTGTGCGCGGCAGCGGCGCCCATCTGGTGGTGGTGGTGGTGGTGGTGGTGCGCGGAGCAGCGCGCGTAGATGGCGGCGAGCGTGGCCTTGGCGTCGCTGATCTTGGCGTGCACCGCGGCGTCGTTGCCGTAGGCGAGCTGCACCATCTCGTCGTCGTCGGGCTCCCGGAGGAGGATGCAGCCGAGGATCTTGCCGGCGTTCTGCGGCTCCATCTGCTTCACCCTCAGGAACGCCAGCTTGTGCAGCTCCGAAATGTCCATCGCCAATCTCAGTAGCTTCGCATCGATCGATGGATGGATCGATCGAGCACTCTCAACAACAATATATATGTAATCTGTTCTAGCCTTAAGGAAGGAAGGAAACAGGAGGAAAACGAGGGAGGCCTCTGCCCTTATAAACAAACACGAGCTGGGACTGGGAGAGGAGCGGAGCGGAGCGGCGACCGAGGCGGCCGGACACGAGCGGTTCGCAGGCGACGGATGCTTTTTGCTGAGTCCTCGCTCCCTGCCGATCGAGTAGTGTGTAACTAACAAGAGATCACTAGCGGTAGCGGCGGCGCAGCGACGCGGAGCGCGTCGTTTGGATCTTCGATGACTGCTGGCCACTTCCACGACTCCTTCCGCACCACGCATGCACCGAGAGATTAGCGGAGGCGGTTGCTCTCCTTAATTTCCTTCTCTTTTTCCTTCTATAATTGTTATGTTAATTAATCCAGCCATGTATGCATCCTGATCCAGGGGAGGGGCGCTTCAAAGGGAATGGAAATATCCCGGATTATGTGTATGCCGTGATGCATGCGCGATAGAGCCGAACATACAGTTATGCTTTTGCCTCAGCCCAACCAGGAGGTGGCGCCACGTGATCTTTTGAGTTTTCTTTTTTTAACTTGCCGCATGATGTTCAACTTCTTTTTGACGAGAGGCACACATGACGCATGCTTTGAATTTATCTTTTATTTTAGTTCAGTGGCGAATTATATTATCTTGCGTCTCAAGAAAAAAAAAAGGCAAAACTGATGCCTTGAAACGAAAACAAAATATTTCGATTTTACTATTCGGAAAAAAGTTGTTCATCCAGCTTGTGTAAATACCTTATGTGTCCACCTTCCAAAAATAAATAACCTCAATTCAAGTTGTATGGGCAGGGCCGCAGGGGGAAAGACAGGTTTCACTGTGGGCAGCGAGTTAAATGAGTCAAAATTTTAAGGGTTCAAACAAAGCAAATGTATTGCGTAGAAAAAAGATGCTTCTCTGAAAATTTAAGTGGAAATAAATAAAAACTATCGCTTCCAAAAATTTCTTTGTTTGCACTCAGTGCTTGTTCAGTTGGTCAGAATCTTAAATAAATTAGTAAAATAGGAAAACTGCATATAAACCAATTTTCCCTTCTAAAACGATTTTGTTCTGAAAACCAACGTATGATTACTCGTTATTTTTAGATAAGTATTACATGGTAATTGGTCACAGATATGGACTGAACATGTGGATGAACGATGAGTAAACAATAAGAAAAATGTAAAGATGAAAATAGGAATTTAATAAATGGATGGGTCAATGTCGGCATTTCTTATACTATTAGAATAATAAATCCACAAGCGTATGGAACGGCATTATAGTATTTTACCTGACAAGTATTCTAGGGTAATGTATTTTTTTTTCTCATTGAAGCAATGGTTAAAGGATATTGATAACAAACAAAGGGTCACACAGTAATTAAAATGCAAGCTAAACCAAAGTGGAGGTACGTGATAAATATATAAGTCTCAATCATGACTAACAAAGATATCTCCACACCTGAAATAAATAGAAGACTAGAAGAGCGATAGAATGAAAAATGGGAGGACAACAAGTTGAGATCAAGAGGTTTATGAGATGGGACTATTCCATTACTTATAACAAGGTAAAAGAAATGACTATGCTAGTGTCACTTGGGTAGAGAAAGCAAGGCAAGAGTTGTCACCTCAGCTTATTGTAACTCCATATATAGTTTTAAGTGGAACAAAGTTCCAACCTAATATTCTCCCCTGTTAACATTGGGACTTAGAGAACCTCTAGCATAGACAGGGATGAGAAGAGGGCGGTTAGTTCCAAATCATGGCCTACTGAGTTGCCCTAATGTGGTGGAATATACATAAGATAGATAGGGTTGTCACCATCTGCCACCTATGACACTATTCATTGGTACAAAAAGCACTCCAAGCAAATTTCTAGTCTATACACCATGTTTACACTATCAAAGGTTATCTCTATCGCAATTGTAGATAAAGACAATCTCGAGAAAATAGAACAAACTATATCCACATTTTTCATCATTGTGATCTAAGTATAACCCATAAGAAGTGACACTAACAATAGCCTAAATCAACTATTCCATTACAAGAGATAAGCACCCAAAGGCAATGTGGAAAGTAAGTAAATACATGGCATAAAGTAAATAAGAAAGACCACTACATTAAAAATGAGTGTAACACCGAGAAACCAGAGTGTATCTTCGAGCCATCTCACTACTACAGAAAGTCTATTCACCACCGGGACCTTCACCAACGGTTTTGAGATAACCAGCGGTGATACGTATCACCGCCAGCTTATGACCTATGGGGTCCCTCCTAGCCGAATAACCGGCGGGGATGGTTGCTTTCGCCGTCGGCTCGGCGTATGATCTGGCGGTGAACAGAATCTCGCCCTTCGCCGCCGTGTCGTCCGCCAAACGAGCGGTAGAAGGGTTTTCACCACCGGCTGGTCGTCCTATGTCCGACGCCCGATGGAACTAGCAGAGATAATAGTTTTTTTACTGCCGGTGCCATGATGGACATGTGCACTACAATAAGATCCGGTGGTGATAAGGTTATCACTGATGGATTATTGTATGAACCGGCAGTGAAGCAAACGTTGTTTGAATAGACCATTGGTGATCCGAAGTCAGTGTCAGTGCGTTACGGTGGTGTTACAACCGCCAGGACATTCATACGGTGATGGTTGATGCTCAAAATCTATGCCGTCCATTAGTGCGTATTGAATCCGGACCCTTTATCTGGATTGAAGCCCTAATAAGGCCGACCGGCAGCCGCCACCTCCCGCACGGCCGGCTCGTTGTTCCTCTCTTGCTATTTGTGTGCACGCCTCGCGTCACGCCACCACCAGATCCAAAAGGCAAGGTATGCTTTCGCACTTCAATGATGGATCTTTGTCGGATTATTTTTCTCTTTAAGCCTTGTTTGGATATTGTCAGATTCATCTTAATCCACATGTGTTGAAATGGATTGCTGTAAAATTTAGCTCAAGATCCACTTCAATCCACCCCAACACATGTGGATTGATCCAAACAAGATCTTAGTGATCTCATTAGTAAGGAAACTCTCATCCTACTGCACACTGACGATCAGGCTCTACAAAATGGAGAAGGCCCCCAACAAGAAGAACGCACTGGCCAGCCTCACAGAGGATGTCGTTCTCGAGATCCTCCACCGCCTCCCCGCCCGCTCCTTGTTCTGCTGCAAATGTGTCTGTCGCTCTTGGTACAGCCTCATCTTCGACAACCATAAGGTGATGTCCCAGACTGTGGCCGGCTTCTTCTACGATGGAGAAAACAACATGCGAAACTTCACCAGCTTCACAGGTGAACACCCTGACTTGTCCTCCTTGCCCTTCCCCAGGTACAATGTAGCTGTCTTAGATTGTTGCAATGGCCTCATCCTATGCTCGTGCGTTGAGGCTACTGGTGCTGGATCCCTCTATGTCGTCTGCAATTCGGCAATCAAGAATTTATGGGTACTGCCGCCTAGCATCCATGCTGTTGGTCAGGCTCGATTGGGGTTCGATCCGACAGCCTCCTCACACTTCCATGTGATTGAATTTGTAGAGCATGAGGATGCTGAGTGCCTAGGTGTGGAGATCTACACATCTGAAACTGCAGAATGGATCTATAAGGAATCTGAACGAGGCCAGAACATTGATGATGTGATACGTTCAAGACCAGCAGGTGTATTTCTTAATGATTTTCTGCACATTATGGGGTACTCTGTGATACTTGCAGTGGATATGGAGGGAAAGACATGGAGAAAAATTCCTAGGCCTCGTGGTACTCTACCCTCCATCCATCAAGCTCAGGGTCACTTGTGTGCATGTACTGTTGGTGGTCACAATATGTCCTAGCTTTCAATCTGGATCCTTGAAAACTATGCTACTAATAAATAAGCATTGAAGCATACTGTCAGCACGCTGAAGGTGTTTGGAAAGACTAATATTTAATTTGGTTATGTGGATTATGTGGCGGACTACACAGCGATTACAGTTCACCAAAAATAGAATTTAATTTTCTTTGTTGAGGAGGAAAGATGATTCATCGCGTATGACATGGACCGTAGAAAAGTTTATGCCATCCTTGCCCGTGTCTTTTGGTATGGTAGACGTAGCGTCCTGTCAGGGTTCATGAGCAGACCTTACTTTCTTCCTTATGTTCCCTTGTTCTTGTTCTTGGAGTCATTAGCAAAGCAGTGAATCAAGCTGCATTTGATGTATCTCTCTGTCACCACATGTTCAAATAAACCAATGTTACTTGATTGTCTATAAACCTGTTAATTTCATCTAGGATGGATGTTGTCATTATTGCAGCTAAACTAGTGTGCCATCTTTGTTGTGTTGGCAAATTGGTTTATTTCTCTGGCGCGCCCTCCTCTGAGAGGAGGAAGAAGGACCGCGAGATAATGAAGAATGAAGCACTATAATAGTAGAATACTTAGGTTCATTTCTAATGTTATAATATAGGTACATGGGGAATGCTTATGAGGGCACTCCAAAATACATAAAAATAACACCTCAAAAACACTACAATGCACCCGCCATTGTACTACTGGGCTAGGCTGTTGGTATTAACTACACTTAAAATCGACTTAGTCTTGCTCGATGTCGTTGCCCCCGCCATTGCCAGAGGAGGAGGATGCCTCCGCCCCAGTGTCTTTGCTCCACTCGTCATCGTCCTCCTCCTCGTCATCATCAGACACGATCTCGACAGGCGGGAATGGAGGGATCCTGGGTTTCTTGTAGCGCAGCGGTGGAGAGAAGCCTAGTGGAACGGCGGGGAAGTTATCAACGTTCCTGCTGTCGCTGCCCTCCGGCTCCTCCTCAAAGCCTAGCGAAAGCGGAATGGTGGAGAAGTTATCAACATTCCCACCGTCAATGTCGCTGCCGTCCTCCTCCTCGACGGCGACTGCTGGCGCCTCCGCGACCTCCTCCTCCTCGCTGGTGCTGTGGCGATTCACCGA